CACACAGTTGAACGGCATGCCGCTCTCGACAATGAATCACATGATCTGCAGGTGTCATGCGTGCTCCAGCGGGTCGTTGTAATACGAGGTCACCGCCTGCTGCCTGTAAGTGCCCCTCACTCGTGCAYCGGCGCCCATACCTAGCGAATCCCACACCCCGCCCCCGGCCGCAGGTGATGCGGTGGGGCCTGGACTCGGAGCTGCAATGTTGCGCAGATTCTGTAAAGGATCCAGTGTCCCGAAAACACCGTGCTGCGAGGTCGGGCCATTCACGGGCACAGGAGTGGGTGACGAATCCGAAACCTAGACGGGCTAGTCGAGCTGGACGTTTCCCGCACCCTCAGTGGCCATTGCAGCGGCTTCGCCAACAGGTGCCGAAGTCAAGTCTGGTGTAGGCCGTCGTGTTTGCGAAGGAGGGGGAGGCAACCATGGATACGCAACAGATTGATGTCCTGTTGCGGGTGCTCCTGCCACGGCCGGATGTGTGTCTGTGCGTCGAACTCTTGGGACCTTGTCCCTGTTGCCAGTGAACAACGGGGCGAGGCCTGATAATGTGCCAGCGTCCTTCCCCCCCCCACCGCCCTCGACGAAAGCACGAGTGCCTTGCTCGTCGAACGACACAGGTTCCCCGACACCTGAAACTGGCACAGTGCCTTGCGCATCAGGCTGCGTTGCCACAGATGGTCTGCCATCAACGGATGCGGGAATCGTCTGACGAAGCGGACGAGGGGGGAGGGGAGCAAGTGGTGCACATGGAGATGGCACCACTTGTGAGGGGGCAGCGGTCGACGGGGGCGGCGGAACGACGTCATCGGGAAAACGAAGAGGTGGCCATTGAAAAGAGGGATGACCTAGAGGGAGACTCTGCAAGGCCTGCACGGCAGAAGCCAAATGTGCAGGACACTTGGACATATCCTTTGACCAAATCGCATGCCACACCGCCGGAGTGGCCACTTGGCATCTATACCCCTCGGCACGAAAAAAGTGTTCCTTCGCCTCACGAGCACCCCCACATAGAGAACGACCGCATAACCTGCACAAACAACGGCGACCGTTCTTCCTCCCGATCGCAGTGGATCCGTCTAAATAACGACCACAAGCAACGAAATGCCAAACAGGATCATCTYGTTTTCCATCCGCCTTTGGATCCACCTTAAAAGGGGAGTCAAAGGTCTTCGTCTTGTGACCTTTTCTACTACCCTCCGCCCTTTTCCCCGTTGCCGAGGAGGACTCTGCGGGGCCCTTCCCGTTATTGCCTCGAGGGTCAGACATGTTGTGGAGACCGAATGAAATCCGCAGAAGGGGTGAACTGAAACGAACTTCGACGCCAACGACAAAGAACTGCACCGAAGTTACTGAACAACCAACGAATCAACCTGTAAAAGATGGACAGTGACA